TCTATTCTTGAGATGGTCTCTCAGTTCAGGTGGGATATATTCAAGGTTGTACTTTGGTTCTCGTGGACTTGTTTTAATTTTCTTCAGCTTCAACTTGAACTTGCATATGAGTAATTGGTAGTCTGTTCCACAGTCAGCCTCTAGCCTTGTTCCGACTGATGATATTGAGCTTCTCTATTGTCTCTTTCCACAGGTGTAGTCAATCTGATTCCTGTGTATTCCGTTCGGCAAGGTATAGTCACTGTATATGTTATTGAAAAAAGGTGTTTGCAGTGAAGATGTTGTTGGCCTTGCAAAATTCTATCATGCGATCTCCAGCATGGTTTCTATCACCAAGGCCATATTTTCCAACTACTGATCCTTCTTTGTTTCCAACTTTCGAATTCCAATCACTAATAATTATCAATGCATCTTGATTGCATGTTTGATCAAGTTCAGACTGCAGAAGTTGGTAAAAATCTTTAGTTTCTTCATCTTTGGCGTTAGTGGTTGGTGCGTAAATTTGAATAATAATCATATTAACTACTCTTCCTTGTAGGCATATGGTTATTTTCCTATCACTGACAGTGTTGTACTTCAGGATAGATCTTGAAATGTTCTTTTTGACGATGAATGCAATGCCATTCCTCTTCAATTTGTCATTCCCAGCATAGTAGACCATATAATAGTCTGATTCAAAATGGCCAATACCAGTCCATTCCAGCTCACTAATGCCTAGTATATTGATCTCTGTGTGTTCCATTTCATTTTTGACAACTTCCAATTTTCCTACATTTGTACTTCATACATTCCACATTCTGATTATTAATGGATGTTTGGCAGCTGTATCTTCTCATTTTGAGTCGTTCCACATCAGCAAATGAAGGTCCCGAAAGCTCTTCTCCATCCTCGTCATTAAGGTCAACTCTAGTTTGAGAAGGCAGCTCTTCCCTGGTCATATTTTGAGTGACTTCCAACCTGAGAGGCTCATCTTCCGGCACTATATCAGACAACGTTTTGCTGCTATTCATAAAGTTTTCACTGGCCAATTTTTTTAGAAATAGACCGCCAGGTCCTTCTTCCTAGTCTGTCTTAGTCTGGAAGCTCCGCTGAGACCTGTCTACCATTGGTGACCCAGCTGGTATTTGAAATACTCATGGCATAGCTTCCAGCATCACAGCAACATGCAAGCCACTACAGTATGACAAACTGACAGATGAGTGGTGGTTAGGAGGCTAGAAGTCCGAATTCAGGGCCAACGACTCTAGAGGAAGCCTTTATCTCTCTGTTGGCTCTGGAGGAACGTCCTTTTCTCTTTTCAGCTTCAGTTTCTTGGTTCCTTGGAGACCTCGTGTGGTGTGGCGTCTATTTTCCCCATCGGTGTTTTTTTTTTTTTGCTGCTTGCTTAATCTTCTCTTTATATCTCAAAAGCGATTGATTTAAGACACACCCTATATTAACACTTCCTTATTAACATAGCAAAGAAAACCCTATTCCCAAATGGGATTTAACCACAGGTATAGTAGGACTTACAACACATATTTTTGGGGTACACAATTCAATCCATAACATGTAGTATTTGTCCTTTTACAACTGACTTATTTTGCTCAGCATAGTGTTTTCAAGATTCATCCATGTCGTGGCATGTAGCAGGACTTCATTTCTCCTTAAGACCTCAACTACTGGCTGAAAGGATGGCGGTTCAAACGTACCCAGAGGCTCCTCAGAAGACAGTCCTGGTGTTCTACTTCTGAAAGGTCACAGCCTTGAAAGCCCTATGGAGTGGTTCTACTCTGCACACATGGGTCTCCATGAGTCGGAATTGACTAGAACGCAACTAACAACAACAAATATTGCATTGTATGTATATGCCACATTCTGTTTATCCATTCATCTGTTGATGGACATTTCATTTGTTTATGCATTTTGGCTATTGTGAAAAGTGCTGTAGTGAACACTCGTGTACAGGTTTCTGTTTGTGTTCTTGCTTTCACTTCTTTTGGGTATATACCTAGGACTGGGATTATTGGGTCATATGGTTTAAGGTAAGTTTTTTAAGAAAATAACACTGAGCTTGCAGAAGCAGAAGTGGGAGTATATTAGTTTCCAATTGCTGCTGTAACAAATTATCACAAATTTAGTGCCTTAAAACAACATAAATTTATTCTCTTACAGTTCTGGGTGTCAAAAGTCCAAAATTAATCTTATGGGGGCTAAAATCAAGGTGTCAGCAGGACTGCATTCCTTCTGCAAGCCCCAGGGGAAAATCTGTTTCCTTGGCTTTTCCAGCTTCTAGAGGCCATCTGCTTTTCTTGGTTTGTGACTCCTTCCTCCATCTTCAAAGCCAGGGGTATAGCATCTTCAAATGTATTTTTGACTCTAAACCTCTGCTTCCATTGTCTCATTTCCCTTCTCTATCTCTGACTCTCCTACCTCCTTTTATGAGGACCCTTGCAGTTAAACTGCCCTCCTTCCAATAATCCAGGACAATCTCCCCATCTCAAGATCCCCTACCACATCTATAACGTCCTTTTTGTCATGTAAAATAACATTCACAGTTTCCAGGGATTAGGGCACCTTTTGGGGACCATTATTCTGTCCACCACAGGGAGCATACAGACAAGATGAAGAAGAGCTGAGAAATCACTTTGGGAAATTTGTTCTGGGCTGTATGTCAGGGAAGCAAATAGTTGAGGTTTGCTGACGCAGGATCGGGGGTGGCTAAGGAACGGGCAGTTTCATTCTGGAGTCAAGGGGCTGCAGTATCCCAAGCCTTAGACTAAGAGGCCTTCACTTACCAGTGACTTGAGGAGCTGGGTTAGACCTCTCACCCTATACTGGAGCAAGAGAGGACCAAGTAGCCTGCGAACCGAGCCCCAGGATTTATGCCGCTGCCCTAGAGTGACAGCCAGGGCAGCACCCTCCTGAGCCTGCGATTAAAGGTAAAGTGGTAACAGCAGCACTTGTAATTCCCTACCCCCATGTGGCTCATACCTCATGGTCTCCACCTTCACAAAGATTGACCAAAGGGGATCCTGTGGGGAGAGATGTCCCAGTAGGGGTCACCGAATGGTTTTGTGACCATTTCAGTCTCGGGGGCTCTGTGCTCATAAGGGGACCTTGCACTTGGAATTCAATGCCCTGTAGTTGTTGTCTAGAAATTGTTGATAATTTTATCTTTGAATTTGTGTTTTGTAAGTGAAGTCCTATGGGACAATGGAGTATGTACTGAGGATCCTGCCTCCCGCTGCCTCCCTGTCTCCCCTGAATGGGTTCTCCCCTGCCTTTACCTGGTATCTTAGTTATCTAGTGCTGCTATAACAGAAATACCACAAGTGGATGGCTTTATCAAAGAGAAATTTATTCTCTCACAGTCTAGGAGGCTAGAAGTCCAAATTCAGGGCACCAGCTTTAGGGGAAGGCTTTCTCTCTGTCAGTTCTGGGGGAAGGTCCTTGTCATTAATCTTCCCCTGGTCTAGGAGCTTCTCAGCACAGGGGTCCTGGGTCCAAAGGATGTGCTCTGCTCCTGGCACTGCTTCCTTGGTGGTATAAGGTCCCCACCTCTCTGCTCACTTCTCTCTTTTATATCTGAAAAGAGACTGACTTAAAACACATCGTAATCTTGTAGATTGAGTCCTGCCTCATTAACACAACTGCCTCTAATCCTGCCTCATTAACATCATAGAGGCAGGATTTACAACACATAAGAAAATCACATCAGATGACAAAATGGTGGACAATCACACAATACTGGCAAATCATGGCCTAGCCAAGTTGACCCACATTTTTGGGGGGGACACAATTTAATTCATAACACCTGGTCATAACTGCCACTCTCTTTCCCCAGCAGATGCCTGGGCACAGGCACAGCGTGAGTCGGGGTGGGGTCAGGGTTGGACATGTACACTCTGTGTACTAAGTTGTGGGGCAGAACTCCTGGGGTTTGTGAGGGTTTTCACTTGCCTGAGAGCATCTCCAGGCCTGAGGGAGCATGACATTACATATTACATAGCAAATAAAAAAATACCACGACAAACTGAGAAACTATGGAAGAATGAAAAGGGCTTTGTTCATGCTTTTCGAACAAGGGGCCCTACATTTTCATTTTGCATTGTGCCTTGCAAATTATGTAGCTGGCACTGGTCCCAGGAGAAGATACAGAGCCAGTCCCCCATCCCATGGTGGTGGTCTTTGGAGAATGTTGTTGTAGTTAGTTGCCATGGAGTCGGCTCTGACTCATGGGGACCCCATGTACAACAGAACAAAATGTTGCCCAGTCCTGTGCCATCTTCGTGATCGTTGGTATGTCTGAGTCCATTTTTTTGGAGAATAAAACCAAACCAAATCCGTTGTTGTCGAGTCAATTCCGACTCATGGTAACTCCAGGCATTACAGGATAGAGTTGCTCCATAGGGTTTTCTTGGCTGTCATCTTTAGCGGAGCAGATCACCAGGGCTTTCTTCTATAGAACTGCTGGGTGTATTTGAACTGCCAACCTTTAGGTTAGTAGTCAAGTACAAATCATTTGCACCACTCAGAGACGTCTTTGGAGAATCAAAAAAAAAAAAAAAAAAACCAAACCCATTGCTGTCGAGTTGATTCTGACTCATAGCGACCCTATGGGACACAGTAGAACTGCACCATAGGGTTTCCAAGGAGCACCTGGTGGATTCAAACTGCCGACCTTTTGGTTAGCAGCCACAACTCTTAACCACTACACCGCCAGAGTTTCCCTTTGGATGACAGGCCTTTGTTATTTCCTTAGGTAACAGAAACAGCTTGGAGTTTTCCCTATGGAGACAGCACTTCCCCTCATACCCCTCTGCCCCTTCCCCCCAATCCCTCCTTAGGTCTCAAAGAAGGGATAATTGTGTGGGGGTGAGGGTAAGGAAGAAGCATAAAGATGCTTAGAGACAACAGGATGTCACCAGGTGGTTTATTGAAGTCCAAAACCCATGCCCCTCCCACCACAGACCACCTGTTGACTGTAAGGTCTAGCAATCTCTTCTACCGGGAGCTGGGCCAGGCCCTAGGACCTAGGAAACCTTCAAGATCAGTCTCGAGGCGTGGGCAAGGGTCTGTGATTGAGCAGATGCTGTTCTTTGATTAGTTGACAGTATGACCATCACATTATGGAAGGCACTGCTCACCTACTCCTACACTGGCAGAACTAAGGGTGTGTGCATGTCTGTGTGCTAGGATCTGGGCTGTGGAGGGAGAGGGAAGTGCTAGTGAGAATCTCGGTCAGCAATGAGAGGTGGTGCGTGGGCATCACCGCCACCCTGAAATCACTCAAGTGGGGAGAAGAGGTGCTCTTGGATGGTGGCAAGGGTATGTGGGTCACCTAGTGGGCCTCAGAAGTTGTTGTCGATGTTCCAGAGATCCCCGCCAAGTGCATTGGCTGCCCCCTGCAATGTCCAGGTGAGCAGGGCCAGCTGTCGACGGAAACGGCTCTCCTGGAAGCCTAGGCTGGGTTCTACCCCAGGGGAAGAGACCCCTGGGGCCCCAGAGTCACCCTTTCGAAGCAGCCGTAGGTGGTCCAACAGGGCGCTAAGTGTGTGGTCTCCACGGCCCAGGAAGATGTGGCGGAATGGGGAGTCAGCTGGTGACACGTACTGGGACAGGAAGTAGAACTCCACCTGCACCAAGAGTGGGATTAGGTTGGGTGGGGTCTCTGTTCCCAGAGCGAAAGCCTGAACAACCCCTACTGCCTGCTAGCAATTTCTAACCAAGCTTGGCACCTAGCACCCGTTGCTGTGAAGTCACGAAATGTGTGTCAGAGTAGAACTCTGTTCCACAGGGCTTTCACCTAGTGGAGTCCCTGGGTGATGAAATGGCTAACGTGCTCGGCTGCTAACCTTAAAGGTTGGAGGTTCAAGTCCACCTAGAAGCACCATGGAAGAAAGGCCTGGTGATCTACTTCAGAAAAATCAGCCATTGAAAACCCTATGGAGCATAGTTCTACTTTGACAAAGATGGGGTCCCCATGAGTTGGAATCGACTCCACGACAACCGGTTACTGGTTTTAAGTACTTCATATTGTTGAGCAGATTCCCTAAGTCCCACTTCCCTTTGGTTACCCAATCAGGGAATGATCATTTAGTGACATCACCAATATCCAAGCAGAATGCACCCTCCGGCTGTTTTGAGTTCTATCCATTTCTGTCTCCAGAGCTTCCATGCCTGCATCTGGGTCTCCCCAGTCTTCCTTCTTCGCTGGTTCACTTCCCTGCCAAAAGCCTCAAAGAATATTCAATTGTCCTGCTGTTCTTCTTCTTGATACCACTCCTGCACACACCACCTCCACCGGCCTCTACAGCCCAGAGTCAAAGGTCAACAGGACAGCCACCGTCTGACTCAGATGCTGTTCTGCCTCTCCTGAGATGGCCTCACTACTGGTCTGGTTCTCCTCCCACATTTCTACTAGCGTCTCTGGTTCCTTCCACTCCCATCTGTGGGCAGGTCTGAAGGTTTGACCTCCACCCTCTGCTCTTCTGTTTGCCTACATCCCAGTGGTTTTCAAACCTGGCTGCATATTTGAATCACCTGGGGAAGACTTTTAACTTATTGCCTGAGAATCACCCCAGCAGAATAAGGCTCTCTAGAGGTGGGTTAAGAGCTTGGCTGCTAACCAAAAGTTTGGTAGTTCGAATCTACCAACCGCTCCTTGGAAACCCTATGGGGTAGTTCTACTCTGTCCTATAGGGTCGCTATGAGTCAGAATCCACTTGATGACAATGAGTTAATGGTTAGAGGTGGTCTCACACATTCATATCTCTTTAAGACCCTAAAAAGATTTTAATGCCACACAGAGCTCACCCATGTCCCTTGGCTTCAACTATGTCTTCTGCGGGGACAGTTTCCCAAGTCTACTCGTCATATTATCCACTAAAATCTTGCACTCCAGCAGTCTCCATCACTCAGCCCACTGGGCCAGGAGGGAACCTGGACAAAACCTCACGCACATGTAGGCACCACCATCCTGAGTCTTGATCCTATGTTCCCTCTGAGTACCATGACCATCCCCAGCAGTCAGGGTCTCACCTCAAAAATGGAAGTGGGGTGACAGAGGCTTTGGCGTCAGACCGCCTGGTTTTTAATTTCAGCTCCACCACTTACTATGTGGTCTTGCATAAGTTACTTAGCCTCCCTGAACCTTAGTTTCTACCTAAATCCTAGCAATCTCACAGGATTTTGGGGAAGACTATGAGAGAAAAGGAGTCCTGGTGGCACAGTGGTTAAACACTTGGTTGCTAACCGAAAGGTCATCGGTTCGAACCCACCAGCCATTCTGTGGGAGGAAGATGTGGCAGTCTGTTTCCACAAGGATTTACAGCATTGGAAACCCTATGGAGCAGTTCTACTTTCTCCTACAGGGTTGCTATGAGTTGGAATCGACTTTGTGGCAGTGGGTTTGGATGGGAGAAAATGAAGCAAAGCATTTGGCACATGACAGACCCTTAATAAATGGTGGCCTCCTTTTCATCCCCCAGCATCCAGTCTGTCCGTTTCTCCTTCCAAATGCCTCACATCAGCCTGGTTCCCCCCTACAGATATCTGCTGCCACCCTGACCTAGAGTCCAGCCATCATTAATTTCATTCCATCTTCAGGCCATCTATGCTCCAGCCAAAATCCATCCTAAAATTCCACTTTGCCACATCACTTCCATGCTCAAAAATCTTCCTCATTTCCTTGATGTCCAAATCCTAAAAATCCAAACCTCTGACACCTGGCACTTAAGTAACCCATTTGGTGCCTCCTGCCCTCTGCTTCTCCACAGGCCCTCTGTCCTGGCTCTGCTGGTGCACACCTTGCTCCAAAGGAAAACTCCATTGCTGTAGACTCGATTCCAACTCACACCGACCCTATAGGACAGGGTAGAACTGCCCCATAAGGTTTCCAAGGAGCGGCTGGTAGATTTGAACTTTTGGTTAGCAGCCATAGCTCTTAACCACTGCGCCACAAAAGCCAGGCCTAATTTCACTGCCACACCCTTATTTTGGGGCCTCTCTGCCCTGGAATGTCTTCCTTTCTCCACCCCAATCCAAGTTCTGTCTGTTCTTCAAGGACAAATCATGGTCTAAAGTAGAGGTCAGCAAACTTTTTCTGTGATGGACCAGACAGTAAATATTTGGGGCTTTGTGGGCCACGCGATTTTTGTGGCAGTTTTGTCACTGTAGCACAAAAGTCAGCCATGAACCATATGGAAACCAAAGAGCATGGCTGTGCTTGCAATAGAACTTTATTTACAAAAACAAGTGGCAGGCTGTATTTTGCCTGCAGGCTGCTAGTTGGCCAACTCCTGGTCTAGAGCCACAAAGTTCCCTGGGTCTGGCCCAGCACCTTACACACAGGTGGTGCCCTGTAGTCCCTTTGGAAGGTAGCAACTGCTGGGGGTGGGGGTGTCTTTTTGTGTTCCTTGGGTTACACAGGAGAGGTTTAACCAAGGTCTATGAATGAGAATGAACCATGCCCAATCCCTTTTCTCATCCCAGGGTCAAACACAGCCAGGGCTGCGAACCAGTTCATTCCAGTTGGAACCTCTGCTGAGAATTTCCATTTCCACCCCAGATATACTGACTCAGAATCTACATTTTAACAAGATCCCCAGGTGGTTCTTATGTATAATAAATTTTGAGAACCACTGTTCTACTAGCAGGAGCCTTGGTCGCACAGTGATTAAAGTGCTCAGCTGTCAACTGAAAGATCAGTGGTTTGAATCCACCAGCCACTCTGCAGGAGAAAGATGTGGCAGTCTGCTTCTTTACAGATTTAAGCTTTGGAAACTCTATGGAGCAGTTCTACTTTGTCCTATAAGGTTGCTATGAGTCGGAATCGACTGGACGGCAACGGGTTTGGTGTTTCGTTTTGGTGTTTTTTCTTTTTTTTTGGGTTACCAATAGTTCTCAGAATTGGCCTCTAACCAGCAGCAACAGTGTCTCCTGGGACGCGTTAGACATGCAAATTCTCAGCAGAGGTTTAAACACCAATGAATCGGTTCAAAGCCCTGCACAAAGCTCAGCAGAGAGGGCAGAGAAAAGAGAAAAAGAGAGGAGAGATCCGGAAGGAGGCGACGAAGAAAAGACTGAGGAGAATCACAGAAAACAGAAACAAAGAGCAAGGAAGAAAGAGCAAGATGGACGGGTGTGTAAATAGAAAGAAGGAATGAGTGATGCCAAGGGAAAACGGGCAGGGGCACAAGCAGGAAAAAGCAAGGGGGAAAAAGAATACGAACCTGCAAGGGACAGACATGTTTGCTCTGAAAATTGTGTGTGTATGTGTGTGCGTGTGTGTGTGCGCGCGCGCAGATGGTGGCTCAATGTGTACACTATGGGTTCGCTGCGTGTATTTACAGGGTGTCCTGTACAATGAGTGACCCCACACTCACTGAAGGCGGTCCTGCTAAAAATTTTGCATCATAGACCTTTTCTCACGCCCACAGTCCTTATCCACCCATTTCCCAAGATCAAAGGGCTGAGAGGTTGAATTCATGGGGTGAGGAAACGCAAGAGGAGGGGTATAGCTAAAGACGCGGTGGGGACTGCAAAGTATTCAAAACTAAGCGAACGAGCTAGGCCAGGGAATAAAATCGAATGCAACTTTCAGATGACCCTCCTCCTGGCAGCCTTTCTGGATTTCCCCCATCTCAGTACCAGAGGAAAAAAAACTCTCCATTCTCTGAATTTCTTTAGCCCTTTGCACCTCGAGCCTTTTGTACTGCGGATCATTGGGTACATGTTTTTTCTCTCCAGAGGGGTGGGCGGCAGCAGGGGGCTGTGTGCGTGGCGGAGTGGGGGGCGGGGTTGTGCCAGTTTTGCCAAGCTTCGGCCAAGTGATGGTGCTAAGGGGCTCCCCTCCCTCATTTTCTCGCTTTGAGGGGCTGCCTCGATGGCCGCTAAAGTCCTCCCAGCCTGGCCAGTCTGAGAGTATTGCGTCCATTGTGCCCCGAGGACAGGGACCAGTCAGCCTGCAGCGCCCTTTCGACAAAGGACTCAGAACGGAAGGGGAAGAGAAGAGATGACAGGCTGAGCCAGAGCCCTGGGAAAGGAGCCCCAAGACTGCCAGCAGAGGGAGGAGACGCGCAGGGGGGGCCCGCGGGACGGCAGGCGGGGCCGCGGCAGAGGGCGGGGGACGGGGTCTCACCCGCATGATGCGCACGTTGTACATGCGCGTCAGCCTTTCGTCGCTCTCCTCCGAGCTGTAGATCTCCTTCCGCAGCTTCTCGGCCGCCCGGATGTAGTCTCCCCGCGCCGAGTACACCCACTGGAGAGTCAGCCCACGAGCCTGAGGGCGGAGGCGTGGGCTGGAGCAGGCAGCCAGGGGCTGGCGGAGACGGGCCAGGACCCAGGGCTGGGATGGGGATCAAGATGTTGTGGGACAGGGCTGGGACCCCGCGCCTGGCAGGAGGCGGGACGGTAGGGGGCAGAGTGTTGGGGGCGGAATGAGGCAAGAGGGGAACAAGACTGGACCTGTGGGGTTGGAGAGGACAAACCTCGGGGCCTCGGAGGGTACCAGCAGGGTCCTAGAGGCTTAGGTGATTGGGGGCCAGGGTAAAGGCGCCAAGTTGCCAAGGCGACAAAGACTCCAGGGGTTGAGGGGAGGAGAGGCCAGACCCTATGGCCTAAGCAGCATTTTAATGGGATATAGCGCCCCCACCCCCAGAGGTGGGGAGCTGCTTGGCATCTTGGACCTTGAGGTCCCCAGAGAACTCGTTGAGCCTGCCGATGTGCCTGAGGACGACGTCCCCGTAGCAGCCAAAGTCGAGGGGCAGCAGGTGATCATGGCTGAGCCGGATGAGGAGTTGCCCAGCGAGTAGGGCCACAGTCCGGGCCACGGCGGGCAGGCGGCCTCGAAGCGCCGCGTGCAGGTTCTCATATGTGTCCTCTTTTGTGTGCAGGAACGGATATGTCTGGTCATCCTGCGGAACAGGGCCGGGGCTGGGCAGGGGCACCCTGGAGACAGGCTGACGGCTGGCGCTTTTGGGCGGGGGCCAGGAAGTCTCACCTCCATGAAGGAAAACTCAACCGCAGGAACCCCCGCAAAGGCGGTGAAGGAATAGGCACTGCTGTCCATGGGCAGGGGCCGGATCCTGAGAGTAGGCAGGTTAGGGGGGTCGGTGGGCTCAGGCTCCCGTCACCCCGCCACCTCAGCCTCTCTCACCCCCACTTACACCTCAGCATCCCAGCTGGGGTTGGTGAACACCACCTGCTCATAGAGGGTCTGCCCGCTTTGGTTAGGAGAGTCCACCTGGGGGCAGGGTGGGGGCACAGGTCAGGCTCGGCCCCCACCAGCTTCCGTTCTCCCATAGCCTCCCCCGCTTCCAGCTGGCCTAGCTCTTGCCTGCTTCAGGATATTCTCGATGAGGGTGATCAGAAGAGGGCTGGTCTTGGCGTGGAACCTATCATCCCCTGAAGAGAGGGAGAAGTATGACCTGCTCAGGATTTGGCTTCCAGGGACAGGGGTGGGCGGGAGGCGTCCAAGTGGTGGTACTGCCCTAGCTTACCCAGCACTGCGTTGTCCAGACTCACGTAGACGACAGCTTTGAGGTGCAGCACACTGAGGTAGCCCTGTGGGTGAGGGGAGTAGAGTATGAACCCCCCATGCCTCTCCCAACTGCCCAGCTACCCTACCCAGGACCCCACCATCACCTCCAGCCATTCCATGGAGCCCACACTCCCAAAGTCGCCTCCATCCCAGCTAATGAAGAGAAGACTTCTTCGGGGCCGGAAGCCTGGGGGTAAAGAGAAGAGGGAGGATGCGTTCAGCTGGGGGCCAAGCAAAGCCCTCTAAATCCTCCCTCTGTCCTGGTCCCCTGGGGCCCCTCCTTCCCTCTCAACACTCTCCTGCTTCATCTTCACCCAGGCTGATGGAATACCACCATTACTTTCATTTTCAGATGAGGAAATGGAGGTAAAGTGACTTGTCCAGGGCCACACACTAGAACTTGGGGGAGCCAAGTTCGGAGCCTAGGTTTGACGCTCCAGCCTGTGTTCCTAACTGCCTCTCTGCCCCAGTCCTGGCTCAGGCCACAGCCCCACCTCTGCCCAGCCCAGGCCCCGACCTTACCATTGCTCACCATGGAGGAAATGGTCCGCACCAGCTCCAGCAGTATGGCAGTCCCCACGGCAGACTTGGCTGCTCCTGGGCCCCATGCATCCCTCTGGGCCCCAATGACAACATAGTGATCTGGGGGAGGGGATGATTGGGACCCACCTCTTACACCGGCAGTGCCCAAAGCCTTCTCCCTCCACCCCAGGGGGGCAGGCACCACCAGCTTTCCTGGCCCTCCACCAATCTCCGTCACTCAGCCCCTCATATCTCTCTGCAACCCCAGCCCTGCAGTCCCTAATGAAAACTGCCCCTTCTTCTCTTGGCCCTCCCTGGACAGCTTCCTCCATCAGCGGGATGCCTTGAGTCACTCCCTCCCTGGTTAGCCATGTCTCACTGGTCACCAGGTCCTGACAGATTTTAAATCCCTCTCTACCCCTCCCCCCACCAGCATCCTCATCCGAGCCCCACCACAGGCCTCCCTGCTCCTCTCCCTCACCACTCATAGGTGCCACACTCTTCCCGAAGGGCTGCTCCCATCACCCTGCTCTCCTGCTCAAGAACCTTTGATTCCCCACTGCTATCCACATCCAGTGATGCTTGAAAAGGCCATCTATGCAATCTGATCTCCTTTCTTGCTTGAGTCTCTGCTATAACATCATCCACCTTATGCTTGTTCACCTCCAGAGCCAGGGAACTCGCTACAATGCAAGACTGCCCATTCCACCTGAGGGCAGGGTGGACTGGGAGGTCTCCTCACTGCCACTCCCATCTGTCTCAGTCCCAACTTGCCAGCCATCCTCCCTGCCTACCCCTGCTGCACTCTCCAGTCAAAGCTGCCCTTCCCTCCCCTGGGCACCATTCCCACCCTCCCTGGGGCCTCTTGTACAGCCCTGTCTCTGGCCAGGGCTTATGAGCAGTGGCTCCTCTTGGACAGGCTGTGGGTGATGCAGGGCAAGGGAGCACACCTGGCTCGGAGCGGCCCTCAATGCAGCCAAAGATGTTGCTGATAGGGGTGGCGGCCCTGCGGTTGTTGATATTTAGGTGCAAGCCCGGCCCGGGGCCCAGGTGATAAGGGGACTCTGGGAGGTGTCCCTGCCATTCCTGGGGGGCCACAGGACCTTCAAGCTTCCTGAAGAGGGGTGGGGTAGAAAGGATCTGGAGGAGCAGAGAGACTTGGGCCACAGAAGGGCCCAAAGCCCCCTCTCTGCTCTTTCCCTCCCACCCTCTGCCTCCAGGTCTTTGCCTCTGCACCCTGTTTGGGGGAGCCGTGCAGCCAGGGTCCCAGACAGTTGTGTAGGTTGCGTCCTACTCAAGAGTGCCGAATATAAGTGGGGTCTGTGGGTGAAATCCAGCTGCGTCTCCACTCGCCAAACCATGGGCCCTAGCCACAGGCTGTGTCCACCAGAGGAAGGGTCGCCTTTTTCTAGTTCACCCAAAGGCACTCTATGGGCTAGCTGCAGCCTCCCTCTCTGCCTCCTCCCCTCCTCGGCCAGAGGCGCCCCTCACCTCAGCAAGCGGGAGGCAATGTCTGCACTGATGGGCTGGGCTGGGATTCTGGGGAGGCCAGAGGACTGGACTGGAGGAAACTGGGTTTGATTGAAGGAGGGGAAGCCAGGCGTGTAGGGGTCCCCAGTTCCCATGTGCACCTGTAGGGAGAGGGGTGCCCACGCTGAAACAGTGGGCTGAGCTCCCGGGGAAAGTAGCGTGCCAGCCCTGACCAAGGCAAGGAGGTGCCACCCTGGGACCCCAGACTCACATGTCCATACACAGCCCGGTGGCTGGACAGGCCTAGCTTGTGTGTGTCCGGGGAGAGGTCTGCTGGGTCGGGGTATATGAGCACTCCTCGGGCCCCAAAGTCCTGGGCACTGGCCACCTGGGGAAGGGAGGTGGCTATAGTACACTTTCTCCAGAGAAAACAGATTTATAAGGGCAGGAGATATGAGTAAAAGTGAAATGGGAGGGCCTTTGATCTGCACCTGAGGCTCCCACAGTTCCCCTGGAGAGAGGCTGCGCACATCCTCTAGCCCTGGCTCCCCACCCACCTGCAGTGCCTTAGCAGCCACCCACAGTTGCCCGGTGTTCTCTTCCTCACACCCCGCCTGACTCCCGGAACCTCCTGATTTTGTTTCCTGCCAACATTTTCTTACAGTCCACTTGGTTCTTTCCTTTCTCACTCTGTCAGCCTCCTAGATGCTTCCCGTTTGCCCTGACCTTAGGGTTCCCCCGGCCTGCACCCTCCTTGCTCCGCATCATTCCCCATGCAAGCACCCTCACCTTCTGGGCAAAGCTGATCATCCCAACGCGCACCAGCAGAAGGCGCCCCGCCGGCTCCACGCCCCGGGCCCGCAGGTCCTGCAGGTCCTCCGGCCGCCCGTAGTGGGCGTACACCAGCTCTCCCTGGGGATGAAGGGACGGCTGAGATGCGCTCACCGCGCCCCTCGTCCTGCACCAGGGAAAGGGCGAAAGCGGCCCGCATCCCGGGGTTGGGGGGGTGGGGACAGGAAGCGCTCACCGTGACGTTGCCCGTGGCGCTGTAGGGACAGTAGACGTCCGGGTCCTCCAGCGGCAGCTGCTCCCCGGCACTCCCGGACTCATCGACCCAGTGTAGGGTGTTGGGGTGATTCCTAGGAGCGGAGATGGTGAGCGCCCCGCCCCCTGCCGCGCCCCCTGGCCCCACTCTCCAGCCTCCTGGCACTTACGGGTGGGGAAACTGCAACCCCACGTAGTGTGTGTCAGTCCACACGTGGTCCAGCTTCTGTCGGGAGAGCTCGGCGCGAATGTCCTGAGCCAGGGCGGTCATTCCGGCCGAGCCGGCCGCTCGTTCCCGAGAGCTGATTTGCCTGAGCGAGGAGAGGCGGGATTGGGACGGGATTGGAGCCTGGGAGGGGAACCGGGAACAGGCTAGGACTTCTCGACGCCCAGAAGGGGGCCGGGGGGCGGCCCTGGTGGCGCAGTGGTTAAGAGATCGGCTGCCAACCAAAAGGTGTGCAGTTCGAATCCACCAGCCGCTCCTTGGAAATGCTATGGGGCAGTTCTCCTCTGTCCTATAGGGTCGGAATCAACTAGACTCGACGGCAGTGGGTTTGGAGGAGTGGGAGAGAGTAGGGAAGGACGCGTGAGACGTAGGGTTGCCCCAGGCCGTGGGCTGTGAAGGGCTCCTTATTTTCAGAATAAGCTCTTCTGACCCATTCTCTCCCGTCACCACCAAGGCTGCCTCTCTGAGGGTCTCCAGGACATCCTTCTGCTTAAAATCTTAGCTTCCACAGCTAGGGATCCTGTCCACCACTCCTTAGGATATTCCTGGCTCAGGCTAAACTCACCAACTCATATACCGTCCACACACCTCCCCTCCGTGCACCCCCTCCCCTGGTACATACATACTGGCCTGAGCTTTGCCCAGGCATGAAAACACTGGGCAGAAGCAGCAAACTCACCACTGCCCCCGCACTTCCCCATCCTCCACCTGGGTCACCAAGGTACCTGGTGGAACTATGGGATCACTTGTCTCATTGGAGATCTAACCCTGTCTTCTTCCATAGTCACCACCTAACAAGCAAGCCTCTTTGTCCCCTGAACTATCCCTGTTCTTCCATTTCACTTCTGCCATGGGCTGCCCTGCATGGCTTTCCTGTGACCCAGTTCCACCTGCACCCTTTCCATGGCAAACTAACTATCCTTGCCCCTCAACATCATCACAGAATACCTTTTCTACCTCTTGCCTTGACAGAAACCTGGCTCTCTCTTGAAGAGGCCATGTCTCCTGTGCCTCTGGCTCCACTTCTCAAACTTCTAACCATTTCTCCTCAGGTAAAACTCTATTCCTTTGAAGCCCATGCCATCCATCTTTACTACCCTCTACCCCTCCTCACTTCTGTTATCTTCTAACCAATTGGTCATTTGTCTACTTTCATTGAGGACTTTGGCATTTGGCATCTGGCTTATCATTTTCCTCTCCACACAAAGGTCCACTATGCTTCTGTACTACTTCAAAATCCATGTGGATGATGACCCTTAGTCTAAGCCACCATGCTGTCAGCTTTCATAAGGAACACTGCAATCCATGGTCTAAGTGGCTTTCTCAGTTCCATTCCTGTCCCCATCCAATCTAGTCCCCATCCAAGAGCTCAAGTGTTACTTTTAAATTGCACCTGATCATAGGTGTCCATTATAATGGATTGGTACATAAAATACGGTGATAAGCACTTGGAAGTCCTGTGCAGCAGTAAGAAACAATAAACTAGATCTACACACTGCAATCCATATTGACCTTTAAAGCATACTGTTCTTTTTAAAAAATGTTTATCTAAATTGAAAACACACAGTGGTCCAGAGCAAGATGACCGTGTGAACAGCTACATGTGCCCATCCCTCCACAAAACACCAAAATATACAAGCAAAAACTAGAAGAACCAACTTTGTCAGAACTCTGGAAATCAGTCAAGAGGAAACAAACAAAAACCCAAAACCAAAGCCATTGCTGTCGAGTCAATTCCAACTCATAGCGACCCTACAGGACAGAGTAGAACTGCCCCATAGGATTTCCAAGGAGTGGCTGGTGGATTCAAACTGCTGACCTTTTGGTTAGAGCCAAGCTCTTAACCACTGCGCCACCAGGGCTCCAGCAACTAAGCAAATGCTGAAATAAGAAACAGGTGACACTTAAACGTAGGAAGACTTTGGTTTTCTATATGCCTCACCATCTTGCCAGCTCAGCATGGCCATCTTAAAGCAGCAGTGGACTGTACTCCCAGAGAGGGAGCCTGGTCTCTGGCTCAGAAGGAGCAGAGAAGATTTTATTCACAAATTATTGTGTATGTCTGTTCTAACCTGTCTGGGGGCTGCCTAAAGGACTGAAGGAAGGCTCTCATCTTGGTTTGGCCTGTCTCAGAATCCATGCAAGACAGAGAGACTGTGGGAAATGACTTAAGGCTGTAACTACCTGTAGCTGCCTGGGCTAACCTGTGCGATTAAGGCATACAGTAGGCACCTGAAGACTGGAAGGAAAGGCTGGCGGAAGAGTCTCTTTTGGAAATGAAGGCTTTCAGAAGAACTGTGTGTAAGGGGAAATTGAGAAACACGCACACACATGCCCAAGGCAAGACACATGCTCATAAATTACCTGAGAAAATGTTACACTTTTACCTTGGGCTGATCCTTAGGCTCAGAACAAGCCTAGCTAAGTGTTGAAGGAGGGTCCCAGCACAGAGACAATTTGTGGAGACTGTGAGAGCCCCCCTAACCCTGGCATTCAAGGAAATCTCTGCCAAAACACTAGCTGAATACTTGAACACAGGGTACGAAACAGAGACTTGAATCCACACAAGTTTAGGAAGGCAGTCTTTGAAAAAATAGGAAGTCACTAAACAAATGACTATAGCCTTCAACAATTAAGAAGCAAACAAAGAAACAAAACCCCTCAGCAAGTCCTGGGGAGGGGGAAGAATCTGATTTATTATGATAATCAAATGTCCCGTTTTCAACAAAGAATCACAAAGCATGCAAAGAAATAGGAAAGGATGGCTCATGTAAAAGAACAAAATAAAGTGACAGAAACCATCCATGTGGAAGCCCAGATAATGGACTTAATAGATAAAGACTTTAAAACAACAGTATTTAATAAGCACAAAGAGCTAAAGGAAAACATGGACAAAGAACTAAAGGAAATCAGGAAAACAATGCATGGACAAAATAAGAAAATTGATAAAAGAGATAAAATTATAAAAAAAGAACCAAACAGAAATATTCAAGCTGAAAAGTACAAACGAACTAAAATTTAAAAGAAAATCACCAGAGAGATTAAACAGCAGATTTGAACTTGCAGAAGAAAGAGTCAATGAACTTGAAGATAAAATACAATATTATCAAGTCTGAGGAGAAAAAAGAAAAAAAGAGTGAACAGAGCCTAGAGAACTTGTGAGTCACCATCAAGCAGACCAACATACGCATAATGGGAGTCCCAGAAGGAGAAGAGAGAAAGGGGCAAAAAAGAATATTTGAAGAAATAATAGCCAAAAATTTCACAAATTTGACAAAAGACATGAATCTACACATCCAGGGAATTCAATGAACTCCAAGTAGGATAAACCCAAAGAGATCTATTTTACTGAGACGTTTCATAATCAAACTCTCAAAAACCAAAGGTAAAGAGAAAATCTTGAAAGCAGCAAGAGAGAAGCAAATCCTCACACACAAGTAATCCTCAATAAGAGTAAACACCAATTTCTCAGAAACCATGAAGGCCAGAAGGCAGTGGAATGACATATTTAAAGTAGTGAAAGAAAAGAACAGTCAACCAATAATTCTATATCAGCAAAACTCTCCTTCAAAAATGAGAGCAAAATTAAGACATTACCAGATAAACAAAAATTGAGGGAGTTTCTTACCACAAGACCTGCTGCAAGAAATGCTAAAGGGAGTCCTTCAGGTGGAAATGAAAGAACTCTAGATAGTAACTTGAAGCCATAAAAAGAAGAAGAAAAAAATCCAGTAAAGTTAACTTTATGGATAACTATAAAGGCCAGGTGTATGGTAATTTTTTCAAACTCTACTTTTTATGCTCTACATGATGTAAAAGACAAATGCATAAAAATAAGTATAAAATTATGTTATGGGCACACAATATATAAAAATGTAATTTGTGACAACAACAACATAAAGAGGGATAGGAGCAATAGGGACAGAGTTTTTACATGTTATTGAAGTTAAATTGGTATCAATTTAAACTAGATTGTTGTAAATTTAGGATGTTAAATGAAATCCCTATGGTAACCACAAAGAAAATATCTTAAAAAAAAAAAAAACACAAGGAAACAAGAAGGGAATCAAAATGGTTTACTATAAAAAATCAACTAAACACAAAAGTAGGAAGTATTGGAAAAAATGAGGGACAAAAGGTATAAGGCACACAGAAAACAAATAGGAAAATAACAAAAGTCTTTCCTTACAAGTAATTACTTTAAATATAAGCAGATTAAAATCTCCAGTCAAAAGGCAGAGGGTAGCAGAATGTTCAAGAAAACATGATCCAACTATATGCTGTCTACAAGAGACACACCTTAGATCCAAGTCAAAAATAGGCTGAAAGTGAAAGGATGGAAAAAAGTATTCCATGCCAATACAAAAAGAGAGCTGGGGTAGCTATATTAGTATCAGACAAAACAGACTTTAAGTCAAAATCTGTTACAAGAGACAAAGATGGACATTCTATAATGATAAAAGGGTCAATGCATTAAGAATATATAATAATTATATATATGCACCTAACAACAGAGCCCCCAAAATATATGAAGCAAACATTGACAGAATTGAAAAGAGAAATAGACAGTTTTACAATAATAAGTGCAGACTTCAATACACTATTTTCAGTAATGGGTAGAACATCTAGACAGAAGATCAATAAAGAAATAAAGGATTTGAACAACACTATAAGCCAACTAGACTTAACAGACGTACCATATTTTTACACAAATAATGAACACCTTCTACATTTGTTTGCCAACCGTGCCCTCTCCTCATTAGCATAGTGCACTTATGAAAAGATCTCATGGGGGAGGGCACAGTTGGCAAACCAACATAGCAGGTGCATTATTTGCATAAAATATCGTATATATATCGTATATAAAATATCGTATATAGAACACTCCACCCAATATTAGCAGAATACACATTCTTCTCCAGTGGAGATGGATCATTCTCCAGGATAGACCATATACTAGGTCACAAACAAGTCTTATATTTAAAAGTACTTAACTCATACAAAATATCTTCTCCAACCACAAGGGAATGATACTAGACATCAATAACAGAAGGAAAACTGGAAAATTCACAAATATGTGGAAAT